CAGGACCAAAGGAGTAGGGGGAATTTTATTTTTGATACGAATTAATGTTTTTTGATAGGAATTAGTTTTCTTTTTGATAGGCATCCCCCGTTTCTGCTGGGCATGTAGCCATTCTATTCATTTGTCTCCCAGGTCTCTCGCTGGTGGTGTCCGCGCCATGTAGCGTTTCTATTCATTTATCTCCCAGGTCTGTCACTGCTGGTGTCCGCCCTTTTCCGCTGGCCATGTAGGGTTTCTATTCATTTGTCTCCCTTGCAGGTCTGTCACTGCTGGTGTCCGCCCTTTTCCGCCATGTCAGCCAACTGGGCGAACCCATCATTCAAACAAATCCGAGCCATTTTTGCGGCAGCCCAACGGCCTTGGACCAACAAGCGGTCAAATGAACCGTGATGGTTGAACCAGAAAAGTAGCCCCGCCATGCCGGAGACTGCAGTGCTTCCAGGGCACTGGCAAACAGGGAACGCCACTGATGTGGCTTAGGCGTTAAAAATTCGGCCGGTCGAACACTTTGCTTCCAACCGTAGAGTGCAGGTAGTATGGAGTCCTCGTGCAGCGTCACGCTCTCTGCTGCCCCTTGTCGGGCGCCAGCTTTGGTGCGCCCCAGCGACAGCACAGCAGGTCCTTTGGGAGAAGGTAGAAAGACATCTGTTGAGAAGCCCTCCCGTTCGTACGAGACCAAAGAAGGCCACTCGCAGCGACAAGGCCATGACCGGCATCTCTTTCATGATGAACCAGCCACATAAGGCATCGAGAACAACAAGTGTCATGGGGGGGTGCCCGATGGGGAATCTCAGCTGTGGACCAGGCTTTGAGTAGTCTCCAGCTTCCAGCAAGGCCGCTCTTAAGGCCGGGCTCTTTGTCTTGGAGAGCGGCAAGTGTGTTGTTGGCTATGGATTTGCTTTCGCCGGTGGCTCAAAGGAATTCGAGATAATCCGAAACCACATGATCCATAGCTTGCACCCAAGGCCCTCCCCTGCCAGCCAATCAACGAATTTGTCAAGACAAGTCGTCTGGTAACGCTCCTGCGTGTGCGGTTGTACCGTCAAACCTTTAAGGCTTCCGAGCTGCTTCCGTACTTTGACGCGTTGTTGTTGACTACGACTTTCGATTACTTTCGTGGTCTTTTTACCCGTGATTTCCGCGTGGGCCGGCCGCCGCGACGGCCGATCCGCTGGATTTTGGCGCGTGTCCACATAGAAAACCATGCACCAACAGAGCCGCTTGCCAACAACAATGCACCAATCTTAGCCAGAGTCCGACGAAGTTTTCTACCCTTGATTCGCCATATGAGACTAGTCTTGACAGCCCTGAGTTCCAGGGCGTTGATATGCTCGGGGCCACCTTTCCATCGCCACCCAACAACATCACGCCAACGCCAGAGCTTGCTGGGAAGAGACGCGCGCAACCGATGCATCGTAGCGGGCTGGGACATCGGAGCCCATCTGCAAAAGGATATCCCCCCCCTTTGACCGACACTTGCCCTAACAGCTTACGAACCAAGCCTGGCCCTTCCTGAGTCTCACGCTTTTCATGCCGGAGGGGCGGACGCAACAGCAAACCAGCAAGGCCAGAGGCACATCCTGGCGTGAGACGGTCAACAATGTCCTGAATGCTCAGCGTTGGGATCCAGCCGAACACCCGCAACAATGAGTGAAGTAACACGCAAACCACAAGCACTGACTAACTATTGCCCAGCAGACGCAAACGACAATCATCGTGCTCCGGCTTCCTTCCTTGACCTTTGGCATGCAGCGACGGGTGTAGTCCAAGGGAAAACCCATGATCGCCTCACGTTCCCGAGTGGATAAAACCGCAAATCACCTTTGGCGTTTGTCACGCAGTTCTCTGCCCGATATTGGTATGGTGGAAATCTGTGGGAGTCTGCCTGCCAGCGTGCCACAGCGTCCGGAGGGCACAACACCCCGGTGTAGGTGAGGGCCTGGCTGTAGTAAAGGTGGGGAAATGGCAATCTTTTTTGATGCGTTTCCAACCTGGCTCCAGGAAATCCACCTCATCCACCTTCGCAGCCAGGAGAATGCGGAGGTCCGTCACTGCCGCCTTTTCGCCCCAAGCCATGGGATTTGACCCCAAGGACTTGTTCCTGAAGTCTTCTCTTGCATGTCTAGCCGCCTCATAGTTTTCCCCTGCTTCAGTCATAGTCACCTGGTCTGCACCCACCAATTCCAACTGCCGAGACACGGTGTAGGCTTCAGATGTTGGTGAGCGTATATCGCAAAGATAGGCGCCAACTATTCTTTTGAGCTGCTGTAAAGCTCCCCCCTCACATTCATCAAATGCTCTCTCATGTTTTCAATGGCCTGCATCGACAGCGCTCCAGGGAACCGATCATGAAGGCGCTTCACTCGCCGAGTCTCCTCAAATAAGGGCCCTTCTTCCTCTGATTCTTCTTCTGGGCTACTCTCGGAGCTGCTCTCCTCCTCATCTGAGCTGCTGGACCTCTTTCGCTTCTTTTCACCCTTCTTTTTCAGCTTTCGGGCCTTCCTCATCAATCTCTTACGACGGCTCACATGGGGTCCAGGCAGGTGTTTCCAAAGACCGCCCGGGCCGTCTTCTGCCCCCTCTCTAGTACCTCAAGGCCCTCCTGAGCCTCCAACTTCTCCTCCCATTCTTTCTCTCCTTTCCTCTCTCTCCTCTTCTTCTTTGTCTTTTCTTTTTCTACCTTTTTCTCCGCTTCAGGCTCTCCTTCAGCGACCCCGCCTTCTTTGGGAGGTCTTTCACCTCCCCTCCCTTTTCCTCTCTCCTCGGCCAGCCTCTTCAGGGAAGCCAACTCGTCGAGCTCCGCCACGGCCTTCTCCGAGAGGTTCATCTGCCACTCCTTGGTTGCCACACAACAATCTCAAAGACCTCGAGCGTGCACTAGGCGTAGCCCAAGTCTCAAGCTGGCTGCACTCCTCTTTTGCACAGGTGGACAGAGATTGCTCGGTCCTGTCCTCCTCCAAACATCTCCATGATGCGCGCGGACTGTGTCCCGGTCAACACGAAATCCATTCGGCCTTCGGCGGGGTGAAGGGCACGAACTCTTCCAGCTATCTTGACATGGGCATTGTAGTACAATGGTCGATCAAGCTCGATCACATCCAGCTCCCCAAGTTTGTCCAAGGTGAACTCTGACCACCCATATAGCTTCTCCACGGACACTGACTCTTCTGTTTCTGCAGCAGGTCTACGTCGATGTCAAGCTCGAGCAGGGGCTGCAGCCGGTCTCCTGAGTTTGGGAGGCATTCCTCCCCTCACCAGCGGTATCGGCCTCCGCGACCGTATGTCTTTCTCTCTCTCTAAGCTCTTGCTTTGCCCTCTTTGTTACACCTTTGTTGGTGCCTGAACTCCAGCGAGGATGGTTCGAATAAGGAACCCATCCTCTCCAACCACTGCCTTGTGGCTTGCCTTTTCCACGTCCTTTAGGTCTTGAAGACGTTGAAGGAGGTGGGCGTTCTGGAGTATGTGGCGACCTTGTTTTCCGCTGTGTAGGTCTTGGTCTCAAATATGCTTCTCTCTCAATGACTGTCTCTTTTGGGGGTGTCTTGTCTCCTGACTCTTGCTTTCCTGGGAGGCCTGAGTCTCCCGTTTCTGTCTCCTCACCTCTGAGCCGCTTACCTCAGTCGATGTCGATCTCCTCCGTCTCCGTCTCCGCTTTTCTTTCTCCTTTTGCCGTTTGGGAGTTCTTGAACGTGTCCTAATGTCTCTCTCCTCGTCCCTTCTGCTGCTTCCTTTCTTCCGGACTTCTTGACTTGTTGTTGACTCCCTTTGACTCCTCTTCTGGTTTCTCGGTAGGCTGTGGGGCTTCCTCTGGCTTTACTGCAAGGGCTTCTCGGCTTTGACTTTCTTCTTTGTCTGGGCTGTCAGGCTTTTCTTCCTTTCCGGCCTGTGGGGGTGCTTCTCCCTTTCCTTCTGCCTCCTCTGCTTCCGGAAAGAGCCGCGCTATCGAGTAAAAAGCGGTGTCCAATGCACGGACAACCTTGGCCTCAGTCGATCCCGCCAACCGAGGGTTGGTCACAGCCCCCCCCACAGCCGGTTCGCCGAGGTGCACACCGAGCACTTTACCTCTTGCAGACTGTGCACCTTTGCATATGCCCTTCGAGCCCAATGCCACGGTGAAACCGCTATGTGTTGTGTTTACTCATGTGGTCATATGAACACACACACACACATATATATATATAATTATATATATACTGTATTTCAAGTAGTCATCTTTTCTCTAGAATGGCACCGAATGTTGCTCTTGCGGTGCACTTAGTAATGGTGCTAGGGCTACCTGGCTACCTCTCTCGTTGCATGATGGCTGCTACGAGGCCCCTGACCGGCAGGGAACTGGTCAATGTCAAACCATGACAAGACCAGGTCCACTTGCCAATGTGTCGAAACAAAAGGGACGAGTTTCGAACAGGTCTTCAATCAACGCCTGTAGCTACGGCATCGGGAATCACCTCGATCCCTTTATCCCCTGTCATTGGTTTGTCAGCAGTATGGCTCCAAAACATCCTTTCCCATGATACACTCTCCGGCTTTGGCGGCCCCAATGCGAGGCATGATTGCCCATGCCTTCATGCTAGGTCATGGTTTTAGGTTGGAGAGAGCTAGCGATGCAATTTTCGATTTACTGACCCATCCAAACATGGATCTGCTCGGGCCCCACCACGTTTCGCTACCTGGGGAACCCGTCCTGCTCCAGGCTCCCGGTGGCTTGCTCATTGGAGCTGTCGTCAGGAAAGCCTGATCCAAACCTGGCACCAAGGAGAGAATGACTGTGGAGCCCAGGTTTCCTAGGCTCCAGATCAAGCCAAGCATGTGGAGAGACCAGGTAAATCAAGCGCTTGTTCTGTTTGCAAACTTGGCCAGTGAGAGCACTCGCTTCCTTTTGGACAAAGCCGCGACTCGCGTGGCTGAAGTTACAGACATGAAAAGCTGCCGACTCGATGCTTTAAGGGCACAAGAAGCCCAAGCATGAGCCTCTTCAGCTGCCTAGAACTTGCTGCTAACTACGGAGGAGTCCTCCTTCGAGGAACGACAGATTCGCCCACGCAGCTCATTGGCCCTGACGAAGTCCTTGATGGCCTCCTCGTGCCGGCCAAGGAAATGCTTGCAGGAACCACGGGCGAAGAATGTCGTAGCATCGTTCGGTCTTCGATGGCCTCCGCGGACTGCTTGCATTCGGCGCGGCGGCGGAATGCCATTGCAATGGCCTTGTCGTAGTCCTGGATGGCCTCCTCATCCCTGCCAACGATCTGCTTGCAGTAGCCGCGGTTGCGAAATGCCACAGCATCGTTGGGATCCAGCTCAATGGCCTTATCGTAGTCCTTGATGGCCTCCTGATGCTGGTGAAGGGACTGCTTGGAGTAGCCTCGGTTGCGAAATGCCACGGCATCATTGGGATCCAGCTCAATGGCCTTGTCGTAGTCGTAGTCCTTGATGGCCTCCTCCAGCTCAAAGGCCTTCTCGAGGTCTTCGATGGCCTCCTGCAAGGTCGGGTTGCGAGAGAAGAATGTCTCAGCATCATTGGGATCCAGCTCGTCAATGTCCTTGTAGAAGTCCTCGATGGCCTCCTCATACCTGCCAAGAGCATGCCTGGGGCCGCGGGCGAAGAATGTCATAGCTGCATCATTGGGATCCAGCTCAATGGCCTTGTCATAGTCTTGGATTGCCATGATTGCTTCTTCATACCTGCCAAGAGCACGCTTGGAGCGGCCGCGGCGAAAGACTGCCACACAATACTCAGGATTGAGCTCGATGGCCTTGTCGTAGTTTTGGATTGCTTCCTTGTGATTGCCAAGCGCTTCGTTGATTTCGCCGTGGGTCACCCAAAGCTTTCCCGTAATGTCTGCATCGATGTCACCACTTTCCTGGTGCATCTGAAGAGCTTTTTCGATATGTTGCAAGATTGCTTCATTTTCTTCCTTCGTGCGCAACATTTTGGCACCAAGGGCCACCGGCCCATATCGACACTTGGCACATAGATCGTAGCCGCACTGGTGGCATCGCAAGACGCCGAATAAACCAATGTAGGAGCTGCAGGAGCTGCACCTGTGAAGTTGCTTGCAATGGTCTAAGCATTCTACCAGCGGATGTCCACGAGTGCAAACTCGGTGACCCTTGTCTATCATTTGAAGCACTCCTTCCAACTGCGATCTTCCCTTAGGTCCCTCATGGTCTTCCCAGGTGCCACCATCACTCACCTGCTGAGGATGTCCCGCATTCGAGGCAGCCTGCCCTGTCGAAAGGCCCGTGGGTCTTGTGAGGTGAACCGAATCGGTTCCACAAACCGTGGCCATGTCCAGGCTATTTTGATCGTTTCTGCTGTTGATTTCATGCCGCCGTTCAAGGCCACGAGTCGCCAGCAGAATCTGTCTCACATCTGTGGCTGCATCTTTCCCTGTGGTCAATTGGAAGGCTGGACCTTTTGCAGCCTTGGCTGAAGATCGGAACATCGTGACGTCATGACACAAGGCGCTTACACCTAAACATATACCCAGCCCACTACTGAGCCCCACACGAACGTTCTGGAGGGTCAAACCTCAAACATGTTGTCATATTGTCACCAACACTAAGTTGCTTCCACAATCTCGCGCCAGATTGTGAGATCGCCCTCATCATCTCCGAGGTAGGTGGGCTCACAGTCGTATCTACCTTCCCCACAGGTTGCCTGATTTGCAAGACATCGGGAATCCGAGCACAGTCCATGGCACAAATCGAGAAGTGTATCAATGTATTGCCCTAAAGCTTTTTGACTAAAAAGGCAAGACAAGGCCACTCCAACCATTGAACAACCAGCTGGCAGTGGTGGAAAAAAAACGGCAGTTCTTCCACCACAGGACGAGCCAGGCAAGTTCCCCTCTTGTCGCCCGACGAGGTCCAGGAGCAGCGACGGCGACCATTTTCTGGTGTCGGCCAGAGTGAGAGAAGATGAAGGAAGGACAACAGCAAAGCTTTGGGGCCTCTTCGAGGTGGCTTGGAACCAGAGACCAATCAGCCACTTAGAAGGAAGTCCACAAGGCCGATGAAAGTTTGCAGCCCCAGAATGCCCGAGATCAGGCATGAAGCACCTGCTCAACAACCACATGCCCCACCATCCCTGCTGCCAAAGCAACTCGGCGGGCCCTTTCAAAAGAGTGGATGACCGACCCAGGTAATTACGTCAAATACATCCTCGCAGTTGTGTTCACTGTGCCGACCACTCGCCGGAATGCTCTCATCCCAGTGGGCGACCGCGCCGGAAGAAGGACTGAGTGGAGAGGGGCTTCGAAGTGGTGGACGACCAGGCGAGGTTGTGTTTACTGCTAAGGGGCTCCAGCTGTTGAATGCCTTCAAGCAGATCAGGGAGACCTCTGCCGTACCGCAGACACGGCGAGCGGTCCAGGAAGTGCAAGACCGTCCAAGAGGTACTACTGAAGAAAAGAAAGAACACTCCTCTGAGCCGAGGCGAGCTACTCTACGCTCAACCTCACGTCGGCGATGGGATCGTGGCTGGCACAGTTCAAAGGACTCTTGGCAGGAGATCGACGCGAGAGCATAGGCAAAGACTGAAAGCGGAAGCATGACTTCCACAGTCACGTGCTAAAAAGGATGAAGCTGTAAGGCTTAGAGGTTGGAGTGGAGACTCTCGATCGGTTGGGAACAGAAGTGTCGAGAAAGATCATTATCACAATGGGCCGAAGGGAGGCATTATCATTCCTGAAAAAGGCCAAAGGGCACCAGAACTAACAAAAGGGGAGTGCAGTTGATGGAACGGTGAATACAGGGTCAACGTTTTATTCAGAAACTAAAAGGCGACCTTCGGAAACTTTTAAGGTTTTCTTCAGAAACTAGCTAATGTTCGGAAACTACGAAGAGCTGAAGAGCAACATCAAACCTGCACGAAAAGGTTCCTGCAGATCGCAAAATAGGCATGTGTATGCCGTAGCCGTCACAAGGTACGTAAATAACATTCAATAACCCCACCACCACCCCCACCCCCCCAGCGCTCCTTCATGCAATTTGGTTACAATATTGAAACAGTTTCCAGAATAGTTTCTGAAGACCGCGAAATAGTTTCTTAAGATCACAAAGTAGTGTCTGAAGATCGCAAAAGAGTTTCTGAAGAGCACGCAATAGTTTCCGAAGAATAGTATCTGAAGAGTAGTTGCGGAAGAGTACCAAATAGTTGCGGAATAAAAGTTTCACACACACAAGAATGGAGAGCTGCGGAATAGGACTTTGTTCATGAAGAGAGAAGTGATCAAGAAGGCAAGCAAAGGCCGCTGCTTGCCAGTACCGGCATTCCTCCACTAAATCAACCCTCCAAGATTGTCAAAAAATGCTTTGCAAAGTACAACCTGCCCTCTTTTCTGCATTCGAGTCTCTTCATCCGACAATTGCAGGAACTCCTTCGCCAGCTCACGAACCAGTTGGGCCACACTCAGCTGCTCGAGGGGACCCCCGGGATCGTCTGGGTCGCTGTAGCCCGGGTCCCGACGACGCGGACGCGCCAGCTTCGTAACTTTGTCCCGAAGCTTCCAGAAGGTGTGCAAAGCAGTCACAGCATCGCCGTCTTCATCACTGGCTCCACCAGTTTCCTTGCGGGTTGATCCATAGGGAGAGCACTAATCACTAATGAGATTCCTGTGCTCAATTATGTGTGGCATCGAAATGAGTGAATGACAGTGACTTGAATGCCCCACCAACGCTGTTCTCTTGACGTCACTGTCTTTCTTGAATCCAACCGGGGGGTTCGGCTTGGCAAAGAACTTGCGCAAGCGCATTTGCGGAAACAAGGTGTGCAATGACCTGCAGCTACCCTGCAAGTGAGCTTCCAAACGGACCAGCTCCAAAATCTCTCGCGCCAGCTTCCGAAGCCGCCGGGACATGGTGCCAGCGCTCATGCCTCAGAGCTTGACGGAAAAATAGGCCTCTTACATCCTCTCACCATGTCTCAAATACTTCTTCAGAATGGCAAGCTTTCTCAGTGCACCTGGTCACATGGGTGCACCATCTACAGCTTATAAGATAGATGTCAACTGAATATCGTTTCCATGTGACTGAGTCGCCAACCCTCGGCACCCCCAACATCCTGGGTGTTGTCGCCATCCTCGCCTTGCTGGCCCGCATTGGCCCGCAAACACGGTCAAATGCAACAAGGAAGCTAGAGCTCACGTCTCCACATAATGTGATTCAATGTTTGTAGTCTTTGGTGGACCGGTGTGCCGTGAGCTTGCAAACCTTGATCACCAACCCTTGCAGTAACCCAAGCATACCCAAACCAAGTCGCCATCTGTGTGACCATCGCTTTCAGCATCTTGGTCACTCCAAGCTTCTTGGTCCCCTCAATTCAGTGACAAGTGCTCTCCAACTTTGATGCCGAAACTTAGTGTTGAGCTACCTTAGCTGCAGGTACGGGATCCCTATGTTACAGAACTCCTCTTCGTAGCTTGTTCATGCACCAATCTGGCAGCAAGGGCTTTTACATGAGATTGTGAGATTGCATTTGATATGCCTCAGCCAAAGTTCTTTGATATTCCTCAGGCTGGTTCTTCAGGACGCCCTTGGCAAGATCCAGAATTATTCGAGCAATGACTTCCTTGTCGGCCATGGCGAGAAAGGCCGGCTGACCTACTGTACTCCACCAACGTCCTGTCTTTTGGTGGTAGATGAAGAACCTCAAGCTAAGCTCAGGGAGAATGAGGATGTCCTGCTCTTTTTTGTTCAGTGTGGATTGCTCGGCCTGCTGCGTGACTCCTCGTGTCTGGTGTAGGGAAAGCATACATAATCGTATTGATATGCAACATCATTTTGCAGAGCAATTCCTTCAGCGTCCCAAACGGCAAGACAAAGGGCGATAGCTGCCCCCCCGCACTGATTCACGCACAAACAGTAGCATGACTCCCGTTGGGCTGGCTCCTAGCCGCAGTCTTGGAACATCTGTATGTATGAGTGGAAGGAAGGAGAAAACCGCGACCAGTAACATGTGGCACATTGGCGCAGTCATCATGCCGCTTCCCTCGCTAGCCGCTAGCACTTTTGAGTCGTTGCCCGCTTCCACTTGTTGCGGGAGCAAAGGCCATCCAGCCATCTTTGACTCTTTGACCGCTGGGCTGCCCGGGCCCAAACCAAGGTGCCAGGCTCCAAGGGCGTACCCAGTGGCCCAGGCCTCTGAGGGCAGCAGTGACGACAGGTGATGAGAGGGGTTGTAAGAATTTGTTGGAACATGGATTTGGTTGTTCTGGTCGATTCGTGATGATGACTCAATGTTTGCGTCTATAGTCTATAGGTGAAGAACAGCCGTAGAAAACCACTCAAACCCCATCAGTCAGTGTGGCGCCAACAGAACTCACTTTGGAGAGATTCATCACCGGGACGTTCCGGCTCCTTCATGTGTGGAACTACAACATAACCCCAAAAATATGGTCATGCCCAGCCGATATTAGAAATTAAAAATTGATACCTGACCTGATACCACCCAAACTTCCAAAATGCATCCCACACCTAGGGTATGGTCCCTACAAGTCTAGGAACGGTTGGAAGAAATCTGGCACTGCCTGGGATAAAGAAGCTAATTGCAGGGTTGACATCGGTGCTTTGCAATTGTCACTTGTTTGTCTGAAGGGCAGCACTGCAAAAAGCAACTCAACACTTATTTAAGGCGGTTGTTCGTGCGGGGTCCGTATCATACTCATACAAAGCTCAATGGCTGCGAACATGCCATCACATGTGATACTTGAATGACATGGCATCCAAAGTTCCATCGCCTCCTCAGAAACTTCATCCTATCTTCCGGGCATGCGGCTTTTCGCCGCACCAGCGTCGCGCAGTGATTTTTTCTTTCGCTTTCTGCGCGGCACGGTGCTTCGCCAGGTTTGGAGCTCATTGGCCCAGCGACGCCAGGCCACCGCCGGCATCAAGACCTCCAGGCGCACCTGGCCCGCGTGACGATGCGGCTTTTTAGACCAAAAGAGCCTCCTCATTTACAGGTGAAGTGAGCAAAAAACATGAGTTACGGTATGACTGTATGATACAAGTAGGTAAACATGTGGTGCAAACTGCTTAGTCTGCCCTGTCTAAGATCCCCATCTGCATGCCCCTATAGCATGCCCCCCATCTCTGATTCTTCAATGCTTCGATCCGCCGTTGTCTACGATGCTCCGCGGATGCCGTCGCACCATGGGTGCGTCGGAGTCATCGATCTCCAAGGTCTCCTCCTGGATGCTGCCGTGGCGGTTCAGGAAGGACATCGCCTGAGACATGCGGCTGGGACTTTTGGAACAGCTTCACATCCGGATGGTGCAGGAAACCAACCAATTATATACCGTCATGATACATCAAGGAGTTGAGCAAAGAATCATTGAGGGTTCTGTTTGTATCCACAGCATGGAGGAAACAATCAGCGTGCAAGGCGATCAGCAAAGCTTCAACTGCTCAGCTCCATTCTCCGACTCTCGCCTGTGCCATGACGTCCTGTGGGAACTCCACGGTCCGGCACTGCTTGTCCACTTGCGCAGCGATCACCTTTTCGCCGGTGGACGCGCACATGGCGCGCCGCAGCTGGTCGCGGCAACCAGCTGCGACCGATGAGTCTTTTGGTCGGGTCGGCTGGTTGTGTTGTCTGCCTGTCTGGTCGGTTTAAGGTGACTCCACTTGGGGGCGATCATGCCAAGCGGCTGCATCAAGCACCTGAAGCAGGTCATTGACTCCAGTGCCATCAGCCTTAGATTTAACAAATGGAGGTTGAGCTGACTGCACGAGGGTGTGGAGATGAATAGTTGCACCTCGTCATCTCGACATGCAACCCCATGTTGAAAAGCAAACAAAAACCTTGACCATTAGTTTCTGAACGGCTTAATCACTGTAGGATGTCCTGCACACCAGGTTCACTGAAGGCACCCTGCGAAGATTCAGCTCGTGGTCGAAGTCACAGGGGCTGCTTTGTTCCTAACATTTGCACGGAATGGTGACCTGCTGACCATTCCCCCAACCAGTTTCTAGATCCCCGCCGATTTCCTCAACACAAAAAAACACCTTTTGATAGGAACAAGAAGCTACGAACGGGGCTCCTGGCCTTACTACTAGGAGCGATCGGACGCTACTAATGGCATCGCTACTAGTAGCATTCTTATCATCACCCCTCACTGGTGGCGCTCACTCACCGAGGCACTGCACAGACGGGCACCGCTTCCGGTGGAACGAAGCTCATGGCCTTCAACAAATCGATCTTGTTCCAAACCTCGGCTCTGAGCGCGTCACGTCTCCAGCACGGTCTCTGGTCACAGACGCACGGTGGTGTCTCAAGGAAACCGCATCGGCCTACAAGATGGGCCCGCAGCCCGCATTGATCTGCCACCTTGCTGGTTTCCACGTCCTCTATAGTGACTCTAGTGTAGCTTAGTATTGCTTGACATGCATTTCATTGCGTTCTACGGTTCGGGCTATGTATTTACCAACCTTCACATGTCACAGTCTATAGGCCAATCGAGGACAAGTGGCTTCGATGACTGAAGATTGCAGCTTTTGCTCTGACATTCCAGCGCTTCGAAGAGTCTTCAAGACAATATCCTTCCTCAAACGGTGGGGCAGCTGCAGAAACAGCAGGACTTTGGCAACTTGGTGCAAAGCATTTGTGCGAAGTCATCTTGTGGCGTGATTAAGAACGAACTCAAGCTTTCCCACGCTGGGTATGCGGCAAATATGTACAAAGGTTGCGACATATCAGAATGAACCCAGTTCGAACCAAGCTTCTGCATGGTGCGTTGTGGATGAGCAATGTCGCGAACGTGCCTTGGCATCGACAAGCGATGTACAAATCATTTCCGTGAGAACATCCTCCGTCCAGAATCGCACCTGCTCCGATTAGTATGAATCAGTTTCCTTTGAAACCATCTACCTTCACTGCAATTTCCTGTGGAACCAGTTGGACGTTCAAGCGTGCAGCAAATTCTCCGGCACCGACAAGCAGCGAGGAGAACGTGCTCAATTCACAAATGAGTGACAAAAAAAGAAGCACCACGAAAAGTGATTGTGAAGTAGAAAGCTGCATGGCTTCCGGCCATTCATGCGCCTATTTCACTCCACCTCCCACATGAGCATGCCCAGGCGCAACAGGACGTCACAGTCAATGATCTCTTCCAAGGTTGCTTGGAAAGCTGCCTAGGCACTCCACAAGCGGAAAAAACGAAACCACACCAAGAAAGGTCAGTCGCCCGCTCCTCTTTTGTGGCTTTTTATGCTGCCAAGTGTCAAAGAGATTGTGCGGCAAGTGTTGGATGAAGCCGATACTGTCAGCGATGATGGCGTGCCTGGGGAGGTTCAGTGGTTGCAAGTACTAGTAGCGTGGTAGCAATGCCCAATTCCATACAGGAACCAATTCCTGCAGTGTGTGACTGTGCGACATTCGAATTGCCACCAAACCTCCGGTCCGTGTGCGGATCACGAACCCACACGATCACGGAGTCTGCATGTGGCGATGTTTGCAACCTTCCATGACCTGGAGTGGGTGGATTTCTCTTTCTATGCAGTGGGTTTTGAAGATGGCTAAGTGAAAGCAATGGCAGTGTCGGTCATGTCAAGGGTTGCTCATCTCTGGTTCCAGGACTCAACTTGTGTCTTTGACTTCGGGTTGAAGGCGCCAGCTCACTTTTGACCCAGGTGCCCCCCCAGACGGAAGCTTCACCCTCCGCATCGTGGTGTCCAAGGTTTGAAAAAGCAAATCACGTTCCCGGAGGCCTCACGGACGGGGCGAGACGGGGCGACTGCATCATCTGCAGCAGTCGAACTCCTTCGTCGTGTCAAATGGTACGTCTAACGGTCTAATACACTCACGGTTGATGCTGAAAAGCCCGCGTCGCCGTGTACAACAAACAGTCGAGGGAAAAGGACTCCTTGCTGGGCCGTTGTTCATGTTGTTCCGCATGCTTTGCAGGCTTAGAAGCACCAGCAGTTTCACGCAACTAGAAGAGTTGCGTACAGTAGTCAAACTCTCCCGCACCATTTCTTTCTCTGGTCACGCTCCTCTTAGCCCTGCAGCTGGCCCAACATCGTTTACCCATAACCCTGGGTGTCAAAACAGGAACCCAGCGTGAACACATCAGAATCTCATTGCTTGGAGGTTGTCCTGCATGTGCTGGTAGTAGCAGGGGCATCGCCACTTGCAACAAGTGCATTACTACTAGTAACAAGAAGCAAGGGCACTGCTAAATGCTTTGGATACTTTTGGCTTAGACTCGTCCAAACCATGCGAAAGCTAAAGCCATGCCTGCATCGGTGAGGCGGTTCATCAGCGATGTCTTGCCTGGAGTCCATGCCGAAATTGCCAGACATGGTGCTTCATGTGCACATGCTCCAAGCCATCTACTACTCAACCTACTTCGCAAACTGCTAACAAACACTCAACCTCGCAGTACACCAGTGCAAGTTCAAGTCATCGATGCAGGTTCTGTGCATGGCCTGCATTCGTGTAGCCCACGATGCCAATGGTGGGGACACCTTCTCGATTCTCGCGGGCCTTCTTCCGGACCTTCTTCTCCTCATCAGCGCACAGCATCGGACACTTGGTCATCCCAATGCCGGTCGGTGAGATGATGGGATTGGTTGCCTAGAAGCCCGTCACTTTGTCATCTTAAGCTGTATTGGTCCACAGTTATACAGTTATCCACCCGAAATTCGCCAGCAACCCCCAGTCGTCCAGTCCATTCAGCCCTTCCTACCGATGCAACGTCACATGACAACCTAAGGAGGCAGAAGTTGGAAGATTCATCCTATCCATCCTGATCTTCGACCTCTTGCACCACGGCCCAAGGGGTTGGGATCTTCCACGGTGAAAACGTGCGCCAGTCCCACTGCCATCGGCCAATCCCGGTGGGCCAAGGAGCAGTTTCCAACATCTTCTTGAAGCGAAGCTCAGCTTGTCGCAGCAAAGACTTCTCAGTTTCAAAGGGAGAAGTCTCGTAGTGGTACTGCGCATACACGTTGTTCCTTGGCAGAGTTGATCAATTCATTGGCCCTATAGTGTGATTTGGAACGTGCTCTTTTGTCTTGACAACACTTTCGGGTCTTCTTCAACCACAGTATCTGAGTCTTGGAGCTTGGGCTGTTTGCCGAATTGAAGGGCCTGTCGGCGTGTCTCCCATCGAGGGGTTCCGAACCAAAACCTACAAAAACTATGTATACCGTATGTCAGCTGGCAAAGCTTCTTTGAAGCCATGCAACTCCTCCTCCCAAAAGCAACACTTTCACCTCAACTCGCAACCAAGGCTCGGGTAACCCTGAACTTCCTTGAAGGGCCCTACCTCCTGCTGTAGGAGTCGGATGGTGTCCTGGCGGAACATGGTTTTGTCCGAAGGCGATGATCGAAAGAATGGTTCGAGTCAAAAAGGCACATTGAGCTGCCTGTTTTGGATACAAAAGGCCCCAGCAGCTCAATGTCAAAGAAACAACTAGCTTGAGCGAATGCAGGACTGTGAACAGGTTTGAAGTTCGGATCATCTATTCTTCGAATGGCCATCAAAGACCATCTCTGCCATATGACTTGTCTCCTTCATCTGCTTTTTGGTGCATAGCGACAGGCGACCCTTCATATACTCCAGTCGCGCCAGTGCCACCTGCCATGGTTTGGTGGGAATCTTGCGAAACCCCGATCCTTGGACATGACCGTAGTGGCAACTCCAGCAGAAGCCACTGAGCCACAGCCCAACAAAATAACACCAGCCCTGCCATCTCCAACCTGTTTGTGTCACGTTCAGAAGCCTAAAGGCCAAGGGCAAGAACCATCCCTCCTGCCACATCTAATCGTCCAACCTGCCCACATGGCACACTCCAATCTCGTTCTCCCTGCCTGGACCTTTGCCTGTGGCGTCCGCGCCCGTAGGTTGAAGATCTCCAAGACCTCGTTTGGGTCTTGAAGAAGTGCAGCTAACCATGCAGTTTCAGTATGCTTGACTTCCTATATAGGCAGGGTGCTACCGTCATTTTGAGCCTTTCTGCCAAACACTTGGTAGACCCAGCAACTCCCAGGCCCACCCTCCGCGAGTCCCAGTGGCCAAGCGATTTCGATCGATCACCTCGAGGCCTGGAAACCTCGGTCCAAAGGTCAAAACACCAACACCGCGTTGACCAAGGTCGAGTAGAAAAAGACTGGTGTAGTCATTATCAAAGCTGCGTTGGGCGACCGAGCGAGCTGTTCGAAAGTTCTGCTTCGTCGAGCTTTCTTTTCTTTTCTCTTCTCTTCTCTTTTGTTCATCTGAGCTACCTTGGGACATCTCCTAGAAATTCTGGGAACCAACGCTCAAGACTCGAAAACAACGTAAATACATGTAAATAACTATTGACAAAGCATTGATCAACAGATATGGCACTTGACGACGACATCTCCAAGGAAAAACACATCAAAACCATATGAAATGGGCAGAACAATGACCCGGCAACTTTGTTCCAGGAGGTATCCCTCGATTTTCATCTCGTCGTTGCTGCGCGTCTCCGGCGGCCACCGCGTTGTTGAGGACCTGAGGTCTGAAGTCTCATCGGTGAGCTGAGGCCTTCGTTTGTTTTCTTCTTTTGGTGAGCAATTCTTGGATTGGCTTAAGGAACCGGAGAGTTGACCATGGGAAAATTAAGAAAGGATCATCTTAAGCAAGATCATGAATTTCACTGATATCTCTGCCTTCTTTTGTGCCGTTTTCCACAGCAAAAGGAACTGTTCAGCCGAATGGGAAAGGTCCATGTGCCACACCAGCTCGAAGGAAAACAACAGGCAGCTCACTTCGGTTAGATGTAAAGTAACCGACAAAATTCAGAGTGAACAATCATGCTTTTGAATGCTTGTGGCACGTACGAACACATCTCCTCGGCGGTAAGAGGTCTGTTTGTGTCACCCTCCTTCGTTCACAGTTCTCCCGACTCTGGGGTTTCCACAAGCTAGTGGCAAAAGTCTGACCACAAGCCCCAACACATTCCAGAATCAAATCAAGCTGGCTTCAAAGAAGCAAGACCTGGTGAAGAAACACAAGGCCTCTTTGAAGAAAGGGAACTTGAACATCTACTTCGAGGAAAAATAAGACTCCGTACATCTGCTTTCCCCTCTTGGCAACAGCAAAGCGGCCGTCTCCAAGTTCCGTGACTGCGTCGGCGTCAACGTCGTGTTGACGAAGAGGTAGTCACAGGGATTCCTGATGTCCGATGAGTCGCATGACATCACACTTCGGACCTCGTTGCAGTGCATCAACCTCGTTCCGTTTTTCGGGGGGTGGTCGATGGCTTGGAGCCAAGGTACTGGGCAATGTACATGGCCAGCTCAGCCACCTTTCCTGCGAGAACACACCGCGCCGGTCCACCTTGAAGGGCTTGTGAACGTGAAGGAGCCCCTATAAACCCTAGAGTTGCTCTGTGCCAACCCTGCCGGCCCCAGCTTTCTTGAGTGGCAGCCAGTTCGGGAGAGGTCTTCGAACCCCTTTGGAATGCTAGTCTCACGATCCCATTGTCCTTTGTTTGTTCAATCACAACCGGTCACCTTCAGAGTTGCCCTCCTAAATCTCTGAAGTTGAGAGAGTGCCCAAGGTCTCCGTCCCATGGCCTTGCTGTTCTTACCTCACAAAACCTACCTGCACTTGCCTTATCTCTTAACTTTTTCATATCCCGCACGAGCCCCGCCTTTGCCAAAATAGGTGTTGGAATCGATCAGCCTCACCTCCGATGTCCATGAGTCAAGCAGCAAACGAAATGGACAACGTCAACAGCTCACCAAGCGGGCCCCAAATTCAAGAAGAACACTGACCTACCTACTGACCTGGTGGTGGATGCTAGTCAGTCACTGGTTCACTGCTGACTCAACACACAATCCTGATCAACCCCGTGATCCTATTGTGAAGGAAAAGCAACGGGGGTTCCACCCGTTCACCATCCATCCATGCTTTTCCAGGTCTTTGGAGGCCGACCCGCGCATCTCATCCCCACTCTGCAGGGAAGGAAGGCGCAAGGGAATGCGCGCCTTCACCACCGTGGTCTCTGCGAACTGTCGCTTGATGACGCCGTTCTGCCAGGCCGCCTCGTGGACGTCGTACTCATCGTCGCTCTCCTGGCGGTGCCCGGGAGGTGCTGAGATTTCCCATTCATCACCTGGATTCAAGAGCTTTATGATGCTTTCTGATCGGAATTCATTCGGAATTCAATGAAGTTCTGGATCGTTCATGGAGGTTTTCGTTCAATTCCCATCTTCCCACCGTCCAACACTCCGGTTTTCGTTCGCCGACCGTCGTCATGGTCCCATCGGCGGCCTCCTCTCCACGGTCCAGGTGCCAGCCCTCCGGTGCCGTCCAGGCGCCGCTCTGCTGCCGCCGCAGCAGATCCTGGGCCTCCGCGGTGGCGAAGGCCTCGCGCGGTGGTGGAAGAGGTCTCGGAGAGTGGTGTGGGGCGTGGATAGAAAGTCGTTTTGAGGTATCCAAAGACAGTTTGTAATCTTTCGGTGTGTTTTGGGAGACAAGTGGCAGTGAGGGAGGTGAGGACTTTTTCTTTTGTGGTTGCGGTTGGGAGCAGCAGGGAGAGCAAAACAGAAGAACATCAAGTCAACACCATCTCTCATGATGACCGGCCATTCCCTCTCCAACATTCCCCAAGCTGAGCATGAACTCAGCGGAACACATGACGTATATCACCACATGATGCGTATCCGATGAATTGGCTTCCTCATCTTCGCCTCATCATCCCATCCGCCGTGAGGAGTCTCGTTGGGTCCTGCTAACAGCGGCAAGTTACACACACCGATCTGGAAAGCTACGAAGAGACTGACAAAAACACTTTCCACATATTTCCACATACCTGTACACTCCCAAAAACTAACACGGACTCTGACAATGGCCCCCTGGAACCCTACCAGCCAGTGGTTACAAAGGGTCCATGTTCGTAGCGGTTTTTCAAAGGCCGCTCCTGGAAGCAAATCCCAACGATTGGCGCGGGCCAAACCAAGTGCCTCTTCGGCGTCCCAAAGGATTTGTGGCCAAGGCTTGCCTCAGGGCTGTGCTGCTCAAGCCTGCGTGGACCCCCCCGATGTGTGAGACCAGCATCGCACGACGCAATTCAAACGACCTCCGAGAACGATCCTCCCATGGCTAGAGCTTTTCGAACACATACCCGAACCAAACCGAAAACGGCGAGAACAGATCCTCTGCCAGCACAGGCACCCCACGTGGATTTTCCAGCAGTCACCACTGGATGCACTACGACCTTGGCCACTGAAGAAACAAAGAAAGCTTTGGATTTGCTCCCAGGTCAATATCCATCCATAACTGTCCAGGTGTGGGATGGAATCTGCTGGCTCAGGCTCATCACGACTCAAAAAGCTCTGCTTACGTTGACTGCCTCTCCATGCTGACATGTCGCTCAGAAACATTTCGAACCGCCAGAAAGGCGAGTGGGACAATGGGTGTACACTGAGGAATGTGGCGAAAAATACACATCCATAGCCACAAAAGCTTGGTTGAAACAACAGTTAAACATGGATCAACTACATTTACGCCTAGACTGGAGGCATGCAGCCAGTTTGGTTCAACAATGCATGGCTAATAGCTTTTCATCCTGAACCTGAATTAACGTCCAGCTCACTTCATTCGCAGCAGCCCTGGCCATCCCTTGATATAAATCCCTAGCTTCCTTGCTACAATAGTTTCATGTCCCTTGCCCCTCGACTTTCGTCGGTCAGCAAGCCGATTTCCCGATCCATAATCGGACCATCAACCGCGCATCAATTGCTTGAAGGGAAGGCCAAACCATCACACCAACCAACGGCAACGTTTGATCATGTTGTTTCTCCAATCCGCAGCAAGGTTGATCTTCCCAACAGCTTGTGTTTCGTTGTGTTTTCATATCATGCACTATGAACTGCAACGAGCTGCGGCCAATGGCTTGGGACCGTGAAGTCGATAGGCCAAGGTGTCCTGCTCGGCAGCGTGGGGAAGGAAGCTGGATTCCGGTGGGTCAGATAGATGAGACGGGATCCATTATGGGTGGTGTACTGGGTGGTGATCGATCAGTGATCTATCGATCAGTGATCTATCGATCAGTGATATCACATGTTCCTTTCCACTGTGATCTGTTCAATAGGAGCAAGGACGCTACTAGTAGCTTTCTCTTAAGCTCTCTCTCAAGCCACTTGGCCGCCATCCTTCCCCCACAGTAATCCTCGTAGGAGAACCATCTCTTCACTGTCCGCCACAGCGGTGTCCGCCGCGGCGGTGTCCGCCGCGGCACGACAGCGGTGGGCCCCAGGATCATGGCTCCTCCCAAGAGGATCAGAACAAAACGCGTAAAAAAGGCACAACAAACGAGGTCACGAAAACCAGAACTCAATTGGGTCGCAGTCTTTTTGTGCCTCCTTGACCCACCCTCAAATACCCCCTACACTATACAAGAAGGTTCGTAGGCAGTGAAGCGATCAACCGTTATTTGACCAAGGCGTTGAAAAGGATGTGCCTTCAATCTTCTTGCGCCCAAAGTCGTCTTCTTACGAAGGTTTCCATCTGTGAGCCCTAGATTGAACCTGGTGGTTCTCCAGCCCTCTGCTCTGAGCTGCCAGGCCATCATGAGAAACCTTTTGGGGAACATCACAATAGCAAATCACCTGCCAACTATAAAATTCAAACTCTCCCAGCCTCCGAAACCATACATTATTGCCAATAACAAGGCCGATTTTGAACTTTGTGAACATTCATGATGTGGATGGTGCCCGGTGATCCAAATGGACGCCCTGGAACCTGCTCCAATACCTGCTAGGATCTAAGGATATCGCACATCTGCCCAGCTGACCTTGTCCGGTTTTCCGAGTGGGCGGGGCGTCTCCAGCACCAAACGTGAGAGTTGACGTCCGTATGATACGGAGGTGCAAACGGAGGTGGAAGCCATGAGATTTCAACGGATCCTCCTCCTTGTGGCACCCAATGTTAGGGATTCATTCACTCGAATTTCTGTACGAAGCACAGCACCCACCACATGGACCAAAGCAGAATCTTTTGTGCCAACTTCTGCAACTATCCTGACATGGCCACTTGAATCCAAGATCCTTGGTGGACCTGCCTTCGCATTTGCCGCCTGTTTTGGCCGTCGAATTGAGCGTGCAAAGCTGGCCGTGAAGAACTTGAGTGATATCTCAAGCAGTTATTTTGGGGTAGGTTGCTGAACCTGGTGTTAAACCACACATGCAGCATCTGAACGTGGAGGAATTATTGCTATCTGCATGAATCTTGGTATCTCTTGAGTTTGTTCTGCAAACAGCGTGGAGGAGGGGAAGTCTAACTGGCTACAAAGAATGTTGCTGACTTATGGGAAGCAGCCATGTGGCAATGCGTTGCCCATGGATCCATGCGATTGCAGGATCAGCGCGTGATCAGCAGTCAGTAGTTGGGACAAAGCCGCACGCACGATTGGTTGCCCCCCATGGAGACCACCGGGATCAGCGAGTATGGCTGACCTGGGCGCTGGGGGTGGTTTCGAGTTTTGTCATTCCCCTACATGCAAGTTGATTACTGGCAGGTTTGTGTGTATTGCTGGATTGGCCATAAAATTGGCTTCGCTGAAGCAACTAACTTCAACCATGTTCAAAAGGTTTATACACACACACACACATATATATATATATATCAATTATCGAGACTTTTGGTTTAAGTTGTGGTTCACCTTGTAAAGTTGGTCTTTTGGCAGGTGGATGATCTTGCAGCTGGTTGTGCGTTCGGCTGAACTGTTGATCAGTTGAGCCTTGAAGCGCCTACTTGAGGCCGAGGGTAGGTGACGAAAGCCAGCAGGGATGCATCCGTGTCAGTGGAAGCGAAGCATACAGCGCCGTCCAGTGACAAAGAACTGGTGGGACATCAAGCGGAGTGAGGTAAATCTTTTTTCATAGGCATGGGGCTGTTGGAGGGATGGTTCACAAGGTCTCGCTCATGAGGTAAAACGTTGTGAACATGTAAGACACACGAACAGCAATGACACAGCCAACCTTAGCTTGTGAATCTGTTGAATCTGTTGCATCGTATCCCAAAACCTCCACGGAGGAGTTGAACCAAAGTGGATGCCATAAAAGGTGTCCAAGAAGTGTTCGTCCCAGAGGCGTCCCAGCGGGGAGTTGAACCCCGGGGGGGGGCCTCCCCTCTACATATGAAGTTTTCATGTGATGCGGCGATCTCGTGGATTCCAGCCCCTCACTTGCTAAAGCAAGGACAACTCCAGCTAGCTGATGCTAGCTTTCGTGAATAGTGCGAAGTCTCACCATGCTCCTGTAGAGGCGGGTTGGATATCACTATGATATCTCATGACCAGCTAAAGGAACGCTATCAGGCCCGCTATCATACGCTATCTGATGGCCAGGTAGCGAAACACATTCTTTTGGTTTCAGCATCCTCCATTCGTCCCATCTGCCCGTGATCCTGTGGTCTTTGACCCGACCTGTATCCTCCTTCGCGGCCCAGCGGCTCAGCGGGATGTCATCGAAGAACTCTTCGAAGGGCCCGTCATCGATGGCCATGGCGAAGCTCCCCGTGGTGCAGTTGATCCCCCGCCTGGGTGCCGGCACGGGCAAACGACGGGCGCTGCGACGGCGGACGCCCAAACGGCGCACACCTCTTCAATCCAGTTGGCCCCAGTCAAATAGAGAACAGTCCTCATGGTCCCTAAACAGTTCAGGAAGTGGGACTCCAAGATTGTGTCCTTGTTGAACCCAAAAGGCCAACTCGTCATGATGCAAAGCAGGGCGCATGTCCACTTCAATGTGAACGAAGCTCCCTTCGTCTATAAGCCTCGGGGCCAAGGTAGCAAGATCTTGTGAAACAATCATTGGCAGTGAAAGTGCTTGAACAAAAGAGGATTGTTGACCAGGCTCTGCGCTTGTCACCTTTTTGACTGATGAGGAAAGTTATTTTTAATTAGGACGTTCAGGTGAACTTTTTGAGAAGCTACTATAGGAACAAAGTCCATCGCTAGTAGTAGCAAGTGCATGGCTACTAATAGGAGCTAGAAGCTACTATAGTAGCTATTTGCTACTCATTAGTAGAGTTTAATATAGTTTAATGCGCTTGTTTCTAGTAGCTTCCTAGTAGTAAGGCCAGGAGCCCCTTCCTTCGTAGCTATGAAGTTGATGCCTTTCACGTCAGCGGTAGCTGCCGCAGCGCATCGTTCCTCCGAAGACGAATCGTTCGGCCAAGGCACCGGTCGCCCGCTGGCCGGTCTTGCCAGGGCTCATCATCCCGTGACCAGGAACAGCGAGAGGTGGTCACCAAGCGCCAGGGCTGGTTGTGATTAGAGCCATGGATGCCCAACTGCCTGAGGAAATGCGTTACAATCAGGTCACCGACAGGGCCTCACAGGGCCTGTCTCAGTTCAGCTATTTGCTACTAACTAGTAAGATGTAGTAAGGCCAGGAGCCCCTAGTAGCGTACAAGTAGCTGCTGAGCCTCCCTTTCACAGCCAACCTCCCGCCGTTTTGAAACATACACGTCACGCCCAGCTGCAGCTGAGGTCGCCCCGAGCACTTCCTCTCGATACGGATGGTCCATCGGTAGATGCCGCCCCGCATGAGGCGCCAGGAGCCGCCCACGGGGATCACCCAACCTGTCGGACCAGCGAGTCGTCGGCATCGTGCCTCGAAGACACCACGAAAGGAGTGGGGCAGCCACAGCTCGATACAGCACCCCGTTCATAGCGTCGCTCCTAGTAGCGATGCCAGGTACAGCATGACCATTGTGGATCTGTTTGTGTTGGGTTCCGCAATTTCAGTGAAACGGGTGAACCTCGGCTACCCGAAGGGACAAGTTGGACAATGTGGGTGTCAGTCAAACGTCCAACATGCCAAACTGCGTGCAAGAATTGAAGTGCACCGTTCACACCAACAACATCAATACCCGTCGGCACTTCTGAAAGTGCGGAAAACAATTAGAAACAGATCGCATCAAATTGAAACTGAAATAGCAATGGAAGGAGTTTCACATATTCATAGATTCACCAACAAAAAAGCTGGATGGCCTATGACTTGCAGCGATCACTTCTGACCATGCCAAGGCTGAAAAATCGTTCGCCTTGATCTTCGAAGTCTCCGACCTTCGTGACGATTTCATGGCTTTCTCCAGTGACCTTGAAGCGTTAGGAGACGCTCTTCGCATTGGAAAATGGCGATTGAACATGTGCAGAAAGCAGAAAACCAACTCTCCATAGGTCGTTATGAACGAAGACGCTGGCCTTCTCCAAGCACGGAAGGACTTCATGGATCGGTCGTGACTCCCATCATTGAGTCCGGAAAAGAGTCTCTGCTTCGCTACCCTGGAAGAGCGGCCAACGACTTGCAGGCAAGAAGCTTCGAACTCACGTTCCTTGGCTGATCATGGCAAGTCGAAACGAACATCATCTCTCCATCCCTGGCGATGGCCTCCCGGAGTTCACATCAAATCAGTCCTCAAGGAGTTCACACATCACCCCATTTTTGCACATATATCAATGCTCAAACCGATTCCTCACTGTTTTTTGTCTTGAAATCCACCGCATGTTCATTACATTTCATCACCTCCCCACCCACTTGTGACACTTCCAGGCACGTATTCCTGGGAGGGTTGCCATGCAAAGGGAGGCTTCGGTGAGGGCGGCGCACGCAGCGGCAACGCCACACCGTTCGCCGCGGCGGCGGCGCTCTCGTCGTCTGCACGGTGGAGCACCGAGTGAACCTCCTCTTTTGCACGCGCAAAGAGGTCCTCAGAGCGAAAGCAGCTCGAGTTTGGGGCTTCAAAAATGCCAAGTTGGAGGTTTCAAACAGCTTTCTGGCTGCACTAGGTTTGAAACTTCAGTATATCCAGCTTAGCAAGGCCTGACATGGTTCAGTCTTAGGGTGCTGCTGCATGTGGCAGTGGGGTCGAAAGCGTTCGATCTCTTTGCAGCAGAAAATGGTCGAACACGGCGTTCTCTGGTTGAGCGAGGGTAGGACAGCCACGGCTGTTTTTTCAAGGTTGTCAGCGTTTGGTTCTCAGAGTAGCGGGCGGAAGAAGTCCAAAACCTTCGTGTGGGTGCTAAGATGGGGTAGTGGTGACTGGTGGTTGTGATTGCAGTGATGAGCGGGTGCGGATTGGAAAATAGGACAAGAGTCTCAAAAGCAAAAGGGAAACTAACGTTGTTTACTCCTTCATTTGAAATTGAGCTGCTTCCATGTCTTTGAGCTCCATCATCTGCTTGCGAAGCTCTTGTTCTCCTTACTCTGCCCAAAATGTGCCCCAAATAAAACTTGTCTGTTTTCACTTTACAAAAAGCATAAAAATTCATAGCAAATGTTGCCCTTTTCTGATGCCAGGTGTCTCTCTTGATGGGATTGCTGCACTCGAATGTGCAGTTGATTCAAGAGGAATTCGCACAATCTGTTGGTCTCCGGCTGCGCAGCGCCACCCGCGCGCATGCCACGAGCGGAGTAAGGCTGGGGCTGTGGGTAAGGCGGCTGAGTTTGAGCACGGCCCAGGGAGCCTCGACCAAGGACCTTGGTGCGCCCAGATTTGCGGCGTGGCTCTGTCATCTATGATCATCTATGTGCCTAGACTTTTACAGATGTGAGCGCTGTGCCATGGACTCAGTCTAAAAGTTAAGAGTTCTTTAGGCCACCTGGTGTGTGAACCCAGTGCAAAGCTGGATGATCGGATGGTGTTGTCTTCAATCACTTCCCAGAACGATTCAAACATGTGATGCCACACTAAAGAAACAAACAAAGATTCGAGAATGCTGCAGAATCTTCCACTCTCTTCGGTCTTTAAAGTCATGGTCACTTCAAGATTTCCCGTCCAGCTGCTGGGGTGGATGCTGCCACCGTCATCGTCGCTTGGTTCAACATCATCGCCGGGTCGGCGGCCATCAAACGCAAGGACCCCGCCTGGGACATGGAGGTGATGGATGGCGCCAGTTGGACGCTTCATTACTACGCCACCGCCCCTGGAATATTGGTCACCAACCATTTCACACTCCAGGCCCTTCAGGGGCCAGGCATGCCAGGCGTGGCCACACCTGGAGTCGCTTCATTGAGGACTCCAACTTTCCCAACGCCGGACCAGCCACGTTCGTGCTCCATGCGCGTTCACCGACCCCGATAGGAAACACTCTTAGTTGACCGAATTTTGCTGGCCATTGTGATCATTGAAGAGGTCAAGTACCTTTCGGTACCCAAATGTACCGCAAGAAGCGTCCAAGTTGTCCATGCCTTTTGGCGTGTAGGACCCACATGCCACGCTTGAAACCATATGTTAATTCCCGCCGTAAAATGTCTGGTTGAACGCGTCTCCCCAGCGAATCCTCCGGTGAAGGCATTCGGTTCTGCGCGGCCATTGGCACATGCTGCCCGGCCAGGTGCTGCTCTGGCAGCACACCCGTGGGTGCAGCGCGACGGCCTCCGACGGATGTGAACAGTGAATTTTCCGTGCAGTTGCGGTGACAATTGTTTCGACGGTCTGTTGGATGAGGTTTGGAGGTGCTCCTACCATGCGTAACAGGTGCATCGCTACATGGTAACAAGGGCATTACTAACAAGAAACTACTAGTAACAAGTGCATCGCTACTAGTAACAGGTGCCTTACTAGTAGTAACAAGAAGCTACTAGGAACAAGTGCATCGCTACTAGTAAC